TCTATTTTTTGTTTGAATAAAATTTCAAAATAAAAAGCAAGAGTAATATCACAGGGGCCTGGAGACATGACTGATGAACAAGGAAAATGTTATTTTAGAGCCAGGAATGTCTGCATTGTTCATTCTGGTCCTTATTTTGAAATTGTCATATTTTTTAATTTTCGTGAAATTGGCCAAATTGCAAATTTCTGACCATGTTATTGGGTAGTTGAAATCGGTAAATGGGCAGTTTCTTGTACTCATTCGATGGAAAAAATGGAGTTCTGAAGAAATAGCTATGAGTTTGGTTGACTGGAATAATGGAATTAGCCGACAATAGGGCTCAAAGTGGGCAAAATCGCCGATTTGTAAATATCGCCTAGGTTGCTAACTTCGCGAGAGTGTAATTCCGTCAGTTTTCTATCAAATTTCGTTTTTTTGGTGTCTTTACAATCAGGAAAAGATTCTCTATCATTTCATAAGAAAAAATAATTTTTTTTTTTTTTGAAATTTTGCGACAGTCAAAGGATTAACCCTTTCAGGGTCCAAGGCCCAAATCTGGAGTCACACACCAGTGTCCAAGAATTTTCAAAAAAAAAATTTGTTATTTTTTCTTATGAAATCGTAGAGAATCTTTTTGTGAAGGTAATAAAACAAAAAGTACGAAATTTGGTGGAAAATTGACGAAATTATGCTCTCGCGAATTTTGATGTGTCAGCGATATTTACGAATCGGCGATTTTGCCGACTTTGACTCCCATTTTAGGCCAATTACATTATTCCAATCAACCAAATTCTTAGCTATTTCACTAGCATTACTTCTATTCTATCGATTGAGCACAAGAAATCGCCAAGTCAACTGTTTCAACTACAAAATAAAGTGATCGGAAATTGTTAATTTGGCCAATTTAACACAAAGTTCAAAATATTCCAATTTCAAAATAGGGTCCAGAATGAACAATGTAGGCATTCCTGGCTCTAAACTAACATTTCCTCTGTTCATTAGTTATGTTTTGAGGCTTTACAAATAAATTCCATTTTGATTTTTTATTCACATAATGAATTTTTATTCACACAAAAAATAGAAGATTTACTGTTATGCAATACTGTAATAATTGTATAAATATCATCACCATATTTGTGAATGTATATTAGACCCACCAGCTGACGTGTATTAGACGTGTGAGGTCGTTTGTTTACTCTTGAACATCGGTAAAAATTTAACATTTCCGCTACTTTGAGCTCAGTTTCAAGCCATTTCCAATGCTAAAACCAATCAAAATCATCTCTATTTCTGTAATATGTCTTCCATTCTATCAAATGAGACCAAGAAATCGCAAATACAACTATAAAAAACATACGAAAAAACACTGCAAAGTTGCTGTTTTAATCGAAAAATCATGATTTCATTTTTTTTCTCTCATTATACACAGTGTGCTGCAGGATCTGTTTTATGTGGTGCACACATACCACATAGATGCATTCTCTCATATCTAGGCCCAAATGTACCACTCACAGTTTATCAGAGTGAGCTGAGCTCATGGCGTAGATCTATGGTTTGGACCCTGAATGTAAAGCCGTAGATCTACGGGACGGACCCTGAAAGGGTTAAAAGAGGAGTGTTAATATGACATTACATCAGTGAATCATTGGTGTTTGCTGCACTGTTTGTTCTAGCTGGGGCTTAATTTAACTGGCTCTCCCACAAGGTACTAAGTGGTTCCAAATTTTTTTAATACTGAGCACACCGAGTGTTAAGACCCATTCTATACTGACCAGGCATCTCAGGCCAATCGTGCCAAATTTGGAGACAGGAAAATTAAAACGTATATATATGTTCGGGGTGCTATGCGTAAGAACGTATATATACGTTTGGACCATTTAGGGGGTAAATCAGTCAAGCTAGTCAGTCAGTAAGTCAGTCAGTAAGTCAGCCAGTCAGTAAGTCAGTCAAGTAAGTCAGCCAAGTAAGTCAGTCGGTAAGTGAATAAGTAAGGACGTCAGTCAGTCAGCCAGAAAGTATGTCAGTCAGTCAATACATCAGTCAGTAAGTCAGTAAATCAGTCAGTCAGTCAGTAAGTCACTTGCCACTTTCAGCAACACTGGTATGCCTACTGGGTGTCATGATTGCTTGGCAGATACAAGATATTGTAATTAAAATATCAAAACACATTTCACAAACACAGCTAGCTTGTAGAGGAGAATGGAAGGCTGGGATGGCGGTGGCGGGAGTGTTGGGGGATGGCAAGGGATGGTGGGAGGTCTCCGCCGCTGACCCACAACAAGGCAGCAGCTTGAGCTAGGGAAATTTTTTCCACGCCCGCAAACAGAACCATTTAAAGTTAATTTTATGAAGTGTTGTATAAAATTGTGCTGCAGTTTTTCAGTAGTGCAGTAACTAAAATGTGCCAAATAAAACCATGTAATATATCAGTCATTCTGTGCTGAAATAGTACTCAAATAGTCACAAACACAGTGACAGGTGAACATTTTCACCTACCTTTGTTACATATTATTGTTTAGAAATATGTACATAGTATTTATAGGTGCCAGCAACGTTTTGGACACACGGGAGCATATATGAAAGTCCTCGAAGCATGGTGTAAGATGAGTGTCGCTCCAATGCTGACCGTGCAGCAGTGGAGTGACATTTAATGATCATACACTGCCTTGGCTTTATTTGTTTTCACTGTTACACATAAACATGTCTGTCTGTCCTTCTGTCTGTCTAGCTCTCTATTTGTCTCTACTTATCTGTCTTTCTGTCTCTCTGTTTGCTTGTCTCTTTCTGTCTCAGAGTGACTTATGAACCAACAGGTATTACACATGATGCAGAGTAGTCATGTCGGATTCCTGAACAAGTGAAAATGCGTATTAATTGCCAGTCATGCTTATTATGCAGTATATCTACAAGCACAGTATAGCACGTTGTCTGGATTTTTTGGGTTTTCCTAGGTAATTTACACTATGTATAATTGTATTCATACAGTGGAACCCCGGTTAACGATATTTTTTCACTCCAGAAGTATGTTCAGGTGCCAGTACTGACCGAATTTGTTCCCATAAGAAATATTGTGAAGTAGATTAGTCCATTTCAGACCCCCAAACATACACGTACAAACGCACTTACATAAATACACTTACATAATTTGTCACATTCGGAGGTAATCGTTATGCGGGGGTCCACTGTATGTGCCTGTGAGATAAAGACAGAGATAGTTACAGACAGACAGAGATAGATACAGACAGACAGACAGACAGAGACAGCCAATCAGCCAGCCTGTCATCCAGCTAGCCAGCAGGCCAGCCAGCAGGCCAACCAGCCTGCTGAACACACATTACACATTCCAGAATTACTTCTCTTTACTTACGGCATAGGTTATATGATATTCTGGCAGGATGACACTACCAGTGGTATCAAAATTGAAAGGATGTTGCACAAATGTTGCACATGGGTTATTATCGAGGTTTTTGATATTTCCCTGACACTTGTGGCCAAATCCACTTCAAAGCCACTAAATTCAGAGTCAACATCACTTTCCTCTTAACCCTTTGAGGGTTCAGAGGCCAAATCTCAGAGTGACAGTCAGGATCCAAGAAGTTTTTGAAAAAAAAAAATGTTCATATAGAATTAAAGATAATATTTTTCTAGTTGTAATAAAACAAAACAAAAAAATTCCGATCAGTACTTTCCAAAATATAGAGGCGTGAAGTTGATCCTCAATGACCATGTGGCAGCAACATTGGCGACTTCCGTAAAGTCGCATTTTAAAAATTTTATTTTACCTTTTTTTTCCCAGTAATATTTGTGGCCTGTAATGTTCTTTTATATATTTACATATGTACAGTCACTGGACATGTTCCTAGAACTGCTGCAGTCTATGAAAGTCTTTGAAAGGTGTCATGCACAGTGGTGTCTTACTCATCTGTGGACCAGTAAGATTTTATATTATGCTTATAGACATGAGGCATAAGCATTATTGTTGCATAAAACAAATACTTTTCAGCCACAGTTGTTTCCTTTTACCGGTGCATAACAGTGAGCTGTCCTGGACTTGCTGAGTCAGCGGTTTGGGTCCCAGCCTGGGCTGGTGCCGTATGCTCGTGGCACTACCATCACCGCATGTGGTCTATCCATCCCAGTTTTAGCCAGACCATGGTCACTTTCACTGTCTATTCCAGGTGTAGGGCCATGGGATGTACTTTGTCCCTTTGGAATTGCATATGTTACAGGGTATCATATGATACAGGTACAGGGGCCCCAATGAAAATAAGTCACTCTGACTTTTTTGGGTTATCCTAGGATCTCTCTATATATGCTTCTATGTATGTTAACCTATGTAACTATTTGTGTATACCAGAATAAACTTACTTCCCTGAATGCATGTGGCATAATAAGTTTATTCAGTATGTAAAGTAAAAGGACACAAGTGCAACTAATGTGACATTTTATTGTGACAACGTTTCACTCTCCAGGAGCTTTATCAAGCTTGATAAAGCTCCTGGAGAGCAAAACGTTGCCACAATAAAATGTCACATTAGTTGCACTTGTGTCCTTTTACTATACATATTGTCGGTAATTCTACCAACTTTATTACAAGTTTATTCAGGTATACACAAATACAGTTACATAGATTATGATACATAGCAGCATATGTGTGGAGAACCTAGGACAACCTAAAAAAGTCAGAAAGACTGACTTATTTCCATTGGGGTCCCTGTACCATATAGTACCATTGTACCATATGGCATTATTGTACCATATGGTTCAAAACCATAGGACTCCTCTTCACATCCACTCGCCGGGGAGTGAGAGCTTCCTTGCCACGAGGCCTGATGAACAAAGTGTACTGAGATGGCGTTCCCACAATGCAATATAGGTGCCCAGATTTTTTGTTTACTGTGCACACTGACCACACAGACCCATTCTGTTAGATGTAGGCCTACCAGCCTTTTTGCTCTAAATTTGAAGCTGCAAGAATTTACAGATGTTGATTAATTTTGTATTCTTTCCTGTTGCAGTTCATCTCAACAAAAGAATTCTACTAAGTGCCATCATCCAGTACAATGAAATTGTTGTAAGTGGCAGATATACTGCAGAAACTGTGAAAGCAATGTGGTAATGATGACTACATTGTGGTTAATTCATCATGAATGTCCAGACTTGAAGCTCACCTCAATATTTGACAATTACAACTACATCCTCAAGAACCAGTGAATATTACTTTATTTACTATAATACTGTACATATATTAATATAGTATTGTACATGTATTATCAACATTTGGTTAGTGTCTTTATAAGAAGCAAGTATAAAGTCTTAATAAAATATCAAGTTATTTTGTAATATTCTTGTATACTTAAATAATCAGTTAAGTTTTTTAACCATTATAGCAAAAGTAATAAAGTAATAAAGCCTTCATAGAGCTGTAAGGCTTTGGAAAATTATTGTAATGTATTATTTCCATTACTTTCTCTTCAGGTAATGATTGTGAGCAGAATATTGTAATATATAATATATATTACACTCTCTACTTCAAATATTTTATCTTCACACATTCCTTCCATGTCTTTAATATTTGGTAGATGTCATTATTAACTTACTGGCATCAAACAAAATATTTTTTTAATAATCTTTTATTTTCCTGCTTATATTTCAGTACTGTCTTTTAGTATCATACCATTATCTTACTACGTGGTTACAGAAATGTTCTGTTCTTAACACTTAATCAACAAACAGCTAAAAAAAACATGGCCCAAAATTTTTAACGTAAACACAGGGTAAAAAGTTAGTTCTTCCTATCATGCCCTGTATGGCGGAATTCTCTTCATACCACACACACTGTGCTGATCCATTCTCTTATGTCTAGCACAAAATTTGATGCTATATTGATGATATACTAATATATTATGCAGTGTTTATGAATGAGTGTTGTTGTTTATTAATTTGTTGTTGTGTATTTATTTTTATATAAGGTCTTTGCATACTAAAACACTTTCTGTGCTTCATACACAGTGTAAGTGCAGAAATAATATTTAATGTATAATTAAATTATATTCTTTGAGATTTTTTAAATGTTTTTTCCTTAAATATTAGTAGTTTCTACAATAAACAACAGGTAATAATTAGATATTATATGATTACAATATGTTTAAACTATTTCCACAATACAGTGGTACCTCAGGATACGAACAGCTCAAAAGTCAAATTATTATGTAAGTGTATTTATGTAAGTGCTTTTGTAAGTGTATTTTTGGGGGTCTGAAACGGATTAGTCTAATTTACATTATTCCTTATGGGAACAAATTCATTCGGTATTGGCACTCGAACAGCCTTCTGGAACGAATTAAGTTCGTAACTCAAGATACCACTGTATTCTCTTATAGAAATTTCAAGAGATGTAATGTGCAGTAGTTCAGAGACCAAAAAAAAAAAATGATATCAATACTCATTATCTTCGTGATTTCTTAGATAAGTAACAAGATGCGGTGCAAGAAAGGTCCTTTAAAAAAAACACATCAGTGTTCAGAATGTTTAAAACAGTTTTCACAAAAACCATATTTAATAATTCACATGAGAGTTCATACGGGAGAAAAACCTTATCAGTGCTCACAGTGCCCAAAAAATTTTTCACAAAATTCACATCTAATCCAACACACAAAAACTCATACAGGAGAAAAACCATATCATTGTTCAGAATGTTTGAAAGAGTTTTCACAAAAATCTAATTTAGTAACACACATGAGAATACATTCACAGGAAAAGCCATATCAATGTTCAGAATGTCAAAAAAACTTTTCACAAAAATCAAATCTAGCACAACACATGAGTGTTCATTCACATGAAAAACCATATCAGTGTTCAGAATGTTTCAAAGATTTATCATGTAAATCAAGTTTAATAAAACACATGAGAATTCATTCACAAGAAAAACCATTTCAGTGTTCAGAATGTTTAAAAGATTTTTCATTTAAATCAAGTTTAATAAAACACATGAGAGTTCATTCACAAGAAAAACCATTTCGGTGTTCAGAATGTTCAAAAGATTTTTCATGTAAATCAAATCTAATAAAACACATAAGAGTTCATTCACAAGAAAAACCATTTCAGTGTTCAGTGTGTTTAAAAAACTTTTCACAAAAATCAGGTCTAATACAACACACGAGAACTCATTCGCAAGAAAAACCATATCAGTGTTCCGAGTGTTCAAAAGATTTTTCATATCAATCAGCTCTTATTCAACACGTGAGAATTCATTCACATGTAAAACCATATAGGTGTTCAGAATGTCTAAAAGAATTTAGACAAAAATCACATCTAACAAAACACATGAAGGTTCATTCTCAAGAAAAACTATATCAGTATTCAGAGTGTTTAGAAGACATTTTATGTAAACCAGATCTAATGAACCACATGACAGTTCATTCATTAGAAAAACCACATCAGTGTTCGGAGTGTTCAAGAAACTTTTCACAGAAATCAAGTCTGATACGACACAAGAGAGTTCATTCACAAGAAAAACCATTTCATTGTTCAGAGTGTTTAAAAACCTTTCGACATAAATCAACTCTAGTACATCACATGAGACTTCATTCACAAGAAAAACCGTTTCAGTGTTCGGAGTGCTTAAAAGACTTTAGAGCAAAATCAGGTCTTCAACTTCACATGAGGGTTCATTCACAAGAAAAACCATATCAGTGTTCGGAATGTTTAAAAACCTTTGGACATAAATCAAATCTAAAACAACACATGATAGTTCATTCACAAGAAAAACCATATCAGTGTTCAGAGTGTTTAAAAAACTTTAAGCAAAAACCAACTCTCATGCAACACATGATAATTCATTCACAAGAAAAACCGTATAAATGTTCAGAGTGCTTAAAAAAGTATAAACTAAAAAAATATCTAGCACGACACATGAAAGTTCATTCAGTAAAGAATCTCCTTCATGAAGGGTCACCTTTATGTTGATAATACAGTCAAGAGGCTCTTGATGTGAGGAATTAGACCTTTTGGTCTCCTTGCTCAGGCCAAACCTAATTACCCCCCAATGCCCCCTTCCCTATTTCATCCTCCTCATCCCCTCTTTTCCCTTTCCTCCTCCCCTCCAAACTCTCCCTTTTCCCCATCCTCTTTGTAGCCTCTGGGGTCCTTCCATCTGGCATTACGGTTTCTAGGTAGGGGGAAGTGTGCCGGTGTTCATCCCACTCCATGGGGTTCCTCAGGAGTGATGTAGTTTGCCATGGAATCTGGATTGTATCTGGAGGCACCCTGCTCCCTTCTCGGATTTCCAGTAGGTGGGATAAGGTGTCCTGCAGGTTATGGGTGTATCTCCAGGGGCTGCTTGTCATTTCTGGGAGGTGGCAGCCAAAGGAGGTATGCTTTGTGGTGGGTATCCGACCACCCTCTCTTTTGTCCACCAAGGTGGCTTGGTGGATGTGAGGTGCTATCCAGGAGTGCTGGTTTACTGGCACGAAGGGTAGGATATGGCATGGGTTCCACACTGCAATCTGCACTGCTGGCATTGTTAAGTCCTCTTGGATGAGAGGGGGAACTTATGGCCCTTTCATGCCTTCTAGTAACTGTCCCTCCTCCGACCCTCTTCCTTTTTTTTTTCTTTAAAATAATAATAAGAAAGAAGTACCTCCATCATGGAGTCTTTGTTCCATACTCCCTTCCTTCTCCAAGGCCCTTTTTCATTACCGCACCCTGTACTGACCCGGCTTCATTATTGGACTATTCTCCAGACTTTTCCCATACCCCTGTACCGGGACAAAGGAATTAATGTACAATTGCTGTGGATCCAGTCACACATTGGATTACTCCTTCATGATAAAGTTGATATGTTAGCCAAGAAGACCTCTTCAAGGGGGGCTCCTTGGTGTGGTGAAGAGGCTCTTAGTCTGAGGAATTAGACCTGTCGGTCTCCTTCCTCAGACCGAACTTAATTACCCCCCAATCCCCCCTTCCCTATCCCATCCTCCCAATCCTTCCCTTTTTCCTTTCCTCCTCCTCCTCCCCACCCCTCCCTTTTGCCCTTCCTTTTTTGGCCTTTGGAATTTTCCCACAGGCGCACTAGTTCCTAGGTAGGGGAAAGGGTACCAGGGTCCATCCCATTCCATTGAGGTTCTTGGGGGTGGCATAGTTTGCCGTGGAATCTGGACCGCCTGGGGATGTCTCGATCCCTCTCCGGTATCCCGGAGGGTGGCTTTGGGTGTCTTTCGGGTGATGGGTGTATCTCTGGAAGCCACATTTCAGATTCCGGGAGTGGTGGCCGAAGGAGGTAAGCTTTGTGGCGGATATCTGGCTGCCCTCTCTTTTGTCGACCGAGGTAGCTCGGCAGATGTGAGATTGCTATTCCTGATTGATGGTTTACTGGCATGAAGGGTAGGGTATGGCACGGGTTCCATGTTGCATCTGCACTACTTGCGGTGCTGAGGTCCTCTTGGGTGTGGAGGGATATTTCTGGCCCTTTCATTCCTCCTAGGAACTATCCCTCCACGGTCTCCCCTTTTTTAATTCTTTTTTTTTTCTTTTCTTTTCTTCTTTATTTTTTTTCTTATAAACAAAAAGAAAGAAGTAACCTAACCATGGAGTCCCCAATCCATGACCCTGCTACCCCTGGGCCCCTTATTGTTACCGCACCCCGTTCTGACCTCGCCTCGTCTTTTGGCCACTTTTCGGACACTCCTAAGACCCATGTACCTCTTGCTGGTGCTGTTTCATCACCTGCTTCAGGTGCCGGGGTTTCGACTGACTCCTTCAGTTTGTCTGACCTCCGCTCTCCTTTGACTATGCTTCCGGCCTCTCCCTCTATGGTGCGGCAATTTTCGAATCGCTAGCCCGTCCCATGTCGGACCAACTCTGGTCCCACTTCTAAACGCCAATGGCTATCTCCTGATGACGTTACTTTGTTACCATTCTACTCGGAAAAGACCGACACGTCATGCACTCCCTCTCAGTTTTGGACCACACAATAGGCTAAATTCTTTACATTAAGACCAACTTCTTCTACTACCTATCTTTCTGACCATAGTATTGGCAAAGCGCTCCTACGCCATGTTGGTAGAGATATTTCCTTTCATGCTCTTAAGAGTGGTATGCGTATCATCACAGTCTAGAATGCTACCCAAGCTCATGATTTTTCTATTCTTTCACATATCGATACTATTCCTATCACTATCAAAAAACATCATTCCCTCAATTCTTGTAGTGGTACTGTCATTCTGCCCCATACCATAGTCCAACAGAATTTCCAGACAAGTGGCAATGACATTCTTGAACAGCTGGAACTCCAAGATCTCCCAATTCTCAAGGTAGACATTTATGTTCTTCCTGCCCACGGGTGGAGACGATACCCTTGCAATGTGGCTCGTTTAACTTTTGACAGCCGTGAACTCCCATCCTCTGTTTATGTAGCAGGACATCAGTTACAAGTTCGAAAGGTGATCCCTACACCACAACAGTGTAGAAATTGCTGGTGATTTGGCCACATAAGCAAAATATTGCAGAGCTATAGCCAAATGCCCAGCCTGTGGTGCTGATGACCATTCTAATACGTCTTGCAGCCGACCTCCCTCTTGCCTTAATTGTCATGAGGCTCACCCTTCGTACTCTCGCCGTTGCCAGGTCTACTTAAATGAGCGGGAAATTTGTTGCCTCAAAGAGGCAGAGAGTCTCCCTTATGCTATGGCAGTTTCTCATCTCCGCCTCCAAGGGAGACTGCCCAGTGTTTCTTATTCTCGTGTTTCAAAGCATCCCTCCACTTATTGGGTCACATCTTCTGCAGCCTCCTCTGCGGTTGCCAGTTCCATAGTCACTCCTGTGTCTAATTCTTTTGCTGTCCTGGGCTCAGACATCCCTACTTCAACTCCTCAGTCTGTCCTCACTTCTTCGTGTTCTCCCTCACAAACCCTGGTATCGACAAGACCTCGTACAACACCTCCTCCCAATCGTCCCTCTACTTCTCTGAGGTCCAAAAAATCTCCTTTAACCCCTCCTTCCCTTCATCCACCTCCACATTTTACCTTCCCGGTCTCTGTACCTGGGTCTTCCCCTTTCACTGGCTCTGTTACAAGTGTGGAGGTTCATCCTCCTCCTCGTACTGTGCCTTCCTCCCCTGTCCCCTCCAAAGTTTCTTCCTCTTCTGCCACCTCCCAGGTTTCTGCCTCTTCTGTCCCCTCCCACACTTCTCCAGTTCCCTCCACCCTTCTTTTGCCCCCCCCCCCCACCTTGGTACAGTCCATTACAGTTCCGATCTTTACTCAAACTCCTCTTCCTTCCATCTCCAATATTGTCTCCCATACAATGTCTCTGAACTCCGAAACACTTGAAGCAATCTCTGAAAATATTGCAGAGACCAAACCATCAATGGACACTGATCCACCCTCTGTTCCTTCTCTTTCCTCTTCTCCATCTGCACAACTCCTTTCTTCACAGCCCACCGTTCCTTCGCTGCTTGAACGTTTTCCTTTGGCACCGCATGTGGACTTTTCTAACCCCTCTAGTCTGTAGGTACCCTAACCTGCGGATTTCAGGTATCTTTATCGTTGCCAATCATGGCCTATTTACAGTTGAATATTCGCGGCCTCAGGGGTAATCGGGGTGAGCTTCAGATGTTGCTCTCCCAGTTTTCCCCTGTTGGTGTTTGCTTACAGGAACCAAAATTACACACTGCTGTTATCTATTCCATCTCAGGCTATAATTTATTGTATTCTTCAGATCCTTTTCCTGATGGAACCTTTAATGAAAGTGCCCTTCTTCTACGCACTGATATTCCGTACCATCAGCTATTTGTTCATACTTCGCTGCATTACACAGCAGCCCGTATCCACTTGCATAGGTGGTATACACTGTTCTTTGTATCTCTCTCCCTCTCGGGCATTATCTATCCCGGATATTGCCTTTCTTGTTTCATCGTTACTGCCACCACTTCTGTTACTTGGCGATTTTAATGCCCATCATTTCCTCTGGGGAGGGTCTCACTGATTCCCATGGCATTCAGTTAGAGGCTTTTCCTGCTACCCACCCCCTCCATGTTTTAAATACAGGTACTCGCACCCATTTTGATCCTCGGACTCACACTCTCTCTTGCATCGATCTCTCAGTCTGCTCTTCCTCTGCCGCATTAGACTTCACCTGGTCTGTTCTCCCGGATTTATGTGACAGCGATCATTTCCCAATCATTCTTATTTCCCCTTCATATTCACCACCTCTTCGTAACCCACGCTGGCAATTTGATCAGGCAAATTGGAACCTTTACTCACAACTAACTGTTTTTAGTGAGGTTCCTTCTTCGTCCTCCATTGATGAGCTTTTACACCTCTTCTCATCCTCCATTTTAACCACAGCTTCTCATTCTATACCCCAAACTTTGGGCAGGCATTCTCAGAAATGCGTGCCTTGGTCTGCTTATCGTGCAGTTGGTTTGAAACTCGCTGCGTGGGGCAGGTACCGGTACAATAGAATCACGGAGAGACTTGTTGATTTTAAACAGAAGTGTGCGATTGCTCACCGTGCCATCCATGATGCTAAATGCACTTGCTGGCGAGATTATGTCTCCACCATCACCTCTGCTTCCTCTATGAGTGCAGTCTGGAAAAAAGTACAAAAACTGAGTGGTAAATATTCTCCTGACCCGGCTCCTGTTCTGCAGGTTGCCGGTGTTGAATTAGCAAACCCACTAGATGTTGTCAATGAAATTGGCAATCATCTGGTTCGTATTTCTCAGGGGCTCCATCTATGCCCCTCGTTTCTTTCCTCAAAGTCTGCCAGAGAGTTAGCACCCTTGGACTTTTCTTCTCTTAGAGAAGAACAATATAAGGTGCCTTTTACACTTCAGGAACTGGAGGCAACACTCTCAGCTTGCCGATCATCGGCAGCTGGGCCCGACAACATTCATATTCGTATGTTACAACATTTACATCAGTCTGCCCTTGCAGTCCTCTTACGTCTTTTCAATCTTATTTGGTCACAAGGA